GACCCAAAAAAGACCAGACCCGTCGGTGACCCGTCCTGCGATCTTCCGTTTGTAACAGGTCATTTATTAGAAAGAATCAGATTCTCATTACGTAGGAATAACGTTACTCACTAAACAATTCAAGAATACATCATATTCATCACAATATTTGATGTGTAGGATGTAGCTTCCCAAAGCCTAATATTTGAAATTGAATTTAACATATCCTCCGGACATTGTACATTTTGATGTTTGCGACACAGGACACACCTGCACAAATACGTGCGAGCAAATTCAGACATTTATACTCCATTTCGTTCGTAACGAATCCATATGGGACTTTTGATGACACATTTTGTAGTGATACTAACCAAAACTGGGTACTCCATTGCACCCTGGACAAAATTTGTTCTGACCACATTTGGGGGAAACCCAAAAGGCCACATTTTTATTTAACATATTGTATGGTTAACAAATGGATTAAAGAATATCACCTTCCACCTATAAACGTCCCAGAGTTAACAGAGACCAAGAAGGTCACTAAAGGCAACATTGGCTAGTTCATTTGTATGTGCTAGAGCTGAGTCCGGCACCATCCACACCTGCTTCCCCTTCTCCATGTACATACCTCTAGGTTTTCATGCTTGGCTTTAAGATAGTTAACAAGACTTGAATGACGACTTGCAGCCTTACGTTCCTGGACTTAAGCTATTATAGACTTATTATTTCACTTTCAAAATTATTTTGCTTAGATGACGCTTCAGGTTGTAGGAGCGCCCAAAATACTTTCGCGCATTTCCCGCACATGCGGGTTTTCAGGTATCTTCGCCTACGGGTCGGTAGGTCGTGGAGCTCAACGGTCATGATAGCGGGTAGCAAGGTATTAGGACTAGTTCAATCAAAGCTTGTAAGATCTAGCACTTCTTTTAAAGTCTTTAGAATTGCTTGCAATATTTGAGTACATGAACATGAACACAAATCTGACTTACAATGTTCATAGATGTACTTACAGTATAAAACATGCCGAACATTGTTGAATACATTCCAGCCTGGCTATTGTGGTAGAGCGGGATCAGCAAAATCTGCGAATATGCTGGATCCGGTTTACCACAGTGCCCAGGACACCGACTAAAGGAGGAGGTTCTCCTGTGATCCTTGATCAGCTGAACTTCCTCACCTTGTGTACCCGTCGGTAGGACCGTATCTTGCTCCTCCGGTAACTGCATGGTATTGTCCAAGTGAATGAAGGTTGAGCGTCTTGGCGAGACGCAGGGGTGTTATCAGCAGCGCTGAAGCCTTCGCTCTGCTGTTGGTTGTGGGGATCCGGGGTCTGCACGAATGTTCGAGTGCAGATCACGGGTGGCCGAATCTTGATCCGGGCCGTGTTGTGTTGCCTAGGAGTGTTGTCGTTGAGGCATTTGTTGTTCGTGATCTTGAGATCCCTTTACTTACTTGCAGTCTCTGATGATTGGATCTTAAGTTGTTGTGGAGAGATCGAAAGATCGACGACCAAGCAATAAATGTCGGAAAGCCGGAGTTTGCACGTATAGAGTAAGTCACTAGGTAGTCGGATCTGGCCAATATATTATCGAGTTATCCAAACTAACGATAGATCCTATATTCTTAACACACGGATCTCCTTGTAGGGATACTGTAATATCTCTATCCAAGGTGTCCGTAATACACTAAGTGTGGATCAAACAAAGAAACAAACCACTTGTGTCCAATGATGCAAATTCGATTCTCCTTTGGTTAGAAATGGGGTCTTGAGATACCGTGCAGAGACGCGAAGACGTCTTGGATCTTGCTTGGCCAATGTACGTTCCATCGCGATGCTCACTGGAGGCCAATATACGTTTCCCCGTCGCGCCTGTCACGGGAGGCCAATATGCGCTTGCTCACAGCGGTTCCAATCAACTTGCACCAGATGATGCAGTTTCAGTTCTATGTTATTCCTATGTCCTGTTCCATTACTTGTCTTACCTCTACAGCGCAGGATTCGCATGTCGGATTACTGCTTCTATGGGAGTAGCAGCTATCTCTAAGGATTTGCGCGTAATCATTTGATGTCGACACCCCGAGGTCGGATCCGCCAGAGCTAAAATATCGCTTGCTCTTCCTTGGTCGCGCTATCCTCTGTCCTTAGGGGTCTCTTGATCCACGCACATTCAGGATCCGGCCTAATCCAGATGCTTTCCTGCGGATCCGGCTCATCGGATGACGACACTACAAAGTCGGACCCGCCGGATCCGGATCCCCACTTGACCTTCTTGATCCCCACCAAAACCTCGCGATCAGTAATTTCTAGAAGCCTCTCAATACGTGTATGTCCAGGATCCGGCACGATCCCGATGTTTCACTGCGGATCCGGCTCCGCTTCCCCCCCCCCACTTTCCGGGTATCCGAAAACTTTCCCCGTCTCCGGATCTGAGCCTTCCTATTCCAGATCCTCGGTGTCACCTTCATGTACATTCCTCCCAGATACCTATCTTCATATATCTAGGACCATCACTAGCCATCGATCCCAATGCAGGATCCGGATCATACAGATCCGGATATGTAGACATTGTTCCGGATAATCTCTCTGTTGCTTTTGCGTCAATCAATCAATCAGCCTTATTCACGTGGAACTTCCGATCCACTTCACAACATTAGCTATCACTAAGAGGATTTTTATGTGTTTACTTGTATATCGAGGATTTGTCCGGACCATAATCGTCAAATATGTAGATACAGTACTGTACTCTATACATCGTATGCATTTGCAGTATTGATATCGATCAGATTGATCTTCACAAAAAATAGATGACATTTCTTCGGGGTGACAATTCTTCACTTCTCAGTTGTCCATACCAACTATAATAGGGAACATCGAATACGTCGCAGATGAATTCCGGTACATCTCTTCTAGTTGCGATTGTGGCGGAGTGGCTTGGCAGAAATTGCTGTCTGCCGTTGTCCAGCTCGCCACAGTGCCTCGGGCGACCGACTAATGGAGGGGGTCCTCCGAATGTCCGGTGACGCTGAGGTTCTTCTCACCTTATGTACCCGTCGGTGGTGCGGGGTTGCACTCTTCCAGTCACTTGAAGATGCCTTGGTGTTGATCGTGGGAACCGTATGGAAGGTACTTGGGATTGTTGATTGCTGCACGGATACTTCTTGACGCGGCTGTCTCGTATGTGGTTTAGATCATGTGTGAAGTGATGATCCCTTCTAGTGTGGAGAGCCGGATCGCCGTGATAATCAGGTACCAGTTTCGTGGTACCCTGCTGGAAGATCGATGATCCACCTTTTGGGTACAATGTCCGGATGATCATCGAGGTGATTATAGGGCAATCATTTCGGTACATGGTGTAATCATTCCGGTACAGCAGATCATGACATGATCATTTCGATACATGGCACAATCATTACGACATATTCCAGGAAGATCATTGATCTTAGATCAAGGTGTTCCACGGAGGCGGTACAGTTTGTACTAAGTACGATCATGGAGCCAGTTCGCAAACGGATGGTTGGGAAACGGTTAAGGCCTAGGAAATGCAGAGAGATGGGATTAGGGAGTTTGTATATGCATATTAGTGTTGATTTTACTGCGAAGTAGACAAGTGACTAACACTCAACAACGGAGATAGTTTTCCCTTTCAAGGTCATAGTGTTCCACGCATTTCCAGAGCAGGGAAGTATATTGGCCTCCTCTGACGACCCAGGTACGCAACAGTCTACAAGGGAGAAGCGCAAGAACGCCTTGATAGCTTGACCAGGTCGCCTTCGCTCTCTTCTCACCCCCTCAAGTTCACCGCCAGAAGGAGGCGGTCAAACAACGTATTGGTAGTTTGGTAAACTATTGGTCTTTGGAGAACACACCCTTAGGACCCCCTGTGGATCTACGCCAAGTCTAGATCTACGCCTCTAACGACTGTGAGTGAAGAGTTACCGCGAGCAGTCGATTCGAACCCCAAGTGCCGTCCACACATACTCATCCCAGAACAAGCCCGATGTCTCCCCGGGTCACCCAAGAAAAGCGTAATCGTCCAACCCGACGGGTACACAAGGTGAGCAAGTCTTCATAGCCCCCTACGGCAACGGAGTACCCCCTCCGTCAGTCGGGAGTCCGGACGCCAAGTGGGCGAGTCCTCATTGCGTCGAGTTTCCTCGTGAACCACTATACTACAATGGTGTCCGTGCCCGGATCTTCTGGTCACTCTGGATTTCACTGTGGGTCCGACAAGGAGATGTCAAGATCAAAGATGAGCCAGGAATCGGCTCGTCGACGGAAGGTGAATCGCCGTCGTCGCATCTGAAGAGCGAAGGATACACCGAACGCCAGATCACTGGGAGGAACGCTGTGGAGAAATCAGGAATTGGACTCCAGATCAGCTGCAGAACATCTTCTACCGGAAGCAGCTCAACGCGTTCCTTCTGGAAGATCACGTGATGACAGTGATGAGGCCGAAGCTGATCGGAGAACGTCAAGGCCCCGTTAAACCCCTGCCTCAAGTTTTCGACCTCATGGTCGCGATCACCAGCCTAATGAACAAGTTGGAAGAAGCTGGGATCGTTGCTGGAGCCTTTGACGCCGACGTCGTGTTTGAGCTCAGCTTGACCACCGTAGAGGAGTCGTTAAAGCACTTGTTCAAGCTGCTGAAGCCGCTGGTTGGAGCGACAGCGTCGCTGTCGAGCCATAGCCCGACGGAAGACTACCCGACCTCTGCCTCCCCACACACAGGGTTTGCGTCCGCGAAAGCGTCGGTGTCTTCGGACATCGGCTCGGATAGCTCGACCAAGCCAATGAGGATGACACTTGGACCGTCTGGTGCAGCCATGCTCAACACGAGAAAGATCAAGGAAGAGAAGCCGCAGGTTGATGCATGCCACGGTAGCGCCGAAACAGGCGCCAAATCTTCACAGCCGAGAACACATGAAGTCGTTCTTCAACACGGCCATGGACCGATTTTTTAAGGAGCAGTCCGAAGATAAACGTCGTGAACAGCTGACGGTTCGGGAGGCATCTGACGTCGACATCGAATCGATGGAATCATTCCATCCATCCCCGGATGAATATGATCATGATGGCTTGAGCGTTGACGTCCCACGCCGAGCAGCCGTAGCCTCAGCAGCGGTAGCCGCGTTGTCTGGAGGCGCTGCAGTGATTTCCCGTGTCCGAATGTCAGCGATCTCAAGGAGTTATCTGGCCAAGACACTGATGAAGATCGCGCTCGATTTTGTCTGGGTAAACTAAAGTCCGCATTCATCCGTGACCAAGCTCCTGACAGCGAAACGTGTATCGTCTTCGGAAACCTGCTCACTGGCTCTGCGCGAAACTGGTACCAACAGTTAGGAAGAACAACCTGTGGCAATTGGAAGGATCTCCTGGATGGATTCCGAGTCGAATACTGTGGATTGGGCGTTTCTCTCGCGAGACAATACTATCACGCGAGAAAGAGGTCCGACGAGTCCCCGCTCGAGTATCTCCATCGACTCACAGTGTTAGGCCTCCGAGCCAAGCTGGTGATCAAGACTGGAACGCCGACCGCTTTCCAGGAACACGTGGAATATTTCGTTGAGGCCTTAGATGACCGTGACCTCGCCAATTGACCTTGCTGCGCCTTGCAAACGGGGACGCATTGGCGGACGTGCTGCGTATACGCCAGCGTGCGAAGTCCCGACAGGCGAAAGCAGCTGCAGGAGCGACCAAGTATCGCCAGAAAGCTCCTTCAGCACCTCGACAGGCGTCGTCTAAACCTACTCGAGCAGTACGCTCTATCCACATGGCGATCGACAATGACAGTTCGGGATCCCAATCAGACTCCGGAGGATCGGACCTGGACCAAGGTCGTTCCCAAGTCTATCTTGCGGCAGTCACAGACCAACACAAGCCTGAGACTCCGCTGGAGTCGTGCCCCGATCCCCAACCTTCGCCAAACAACGCCTATCAGCACTCTCGCCCTCGACACGACGATCGTGTAGAGAAGTGTTCCCACTGTGGGTCCACGAGGCACTTAGATCTTGGGTGTTGGAAGCGTTTGACCTGCCAAAAGTGCGGCAGAAGGGGGCATCTAGGTGATCATTTCCTGTACGTCTGCCGAGCGTGTGGTGAAGTTCACGAGGCCATCGAATGCCCGATGGAAGCGTTTTACAACTTGATTCGCCAGTGGTATGATCCCACGCGTCACGCTGGGATGTTTCCTTCGAAGGCGGAGAAAAATGTTAAACTAGAACGCTCGTCAGGTTGGAGTCTGGTACGAGCCGAGCGTTCTAAGTTCTGCGTATATGCATACGGTGACAGGCAAGCGAAGTCGAAGGTCAGTTTTCCGAAGGATCCTGTCAATAATACACGTGGAATTAATGAGAAACGTACCATCACGATCGCGAGTCTCTGGAAGGATGAATATGCGCGATCGTATGTTGTGATGGAACTGGGCTTAACTGATGGAAAGCCCCGTGGGTACTGGAAAGATCATACCCCAGACAAGGAGCCCGGAAAACCCAAGGCCGTGAATTCGATGACGAGAACCCCACCAGATATTGGCTGGGACCTCAGACCGGGTGAATCGCGAGGATACTGGAAGTATAACTCGCCCGACAAGTGGTTCAAGCAGGCGAAGATCACTGGGAAGATCAACAACTCGATGGCCACAATGCTTTTGGACTCTGGCGCAGAAGTCTCAATCGTGGACACCACCTTTGTTCGTAAGGTTGGCTGTATCATAGACAAGAGTCAGAAACAAGAATGTATGGGGATCGGAGAGATGTCTACACGACGTTGGGGCGCACCACGATCAAGGCCACGGTGGCCGGGTACCTGGTGTATTTCTTCGATGCTTGGGTTGGTGCTCTCGCTGGTCAGGATGTGATCTTGGGAATAGACTTCATGGTCCCAGCCGGTATCCGCCTCGATCTTGCCGACGGCATGATGTGTTTGGCCGACGAAGTCAGGATCCAGCTATCAGGACGACGCCCGCCGTATGGTCGAAGCACGCACTCGCTATTGCTGGAGGACGACGTCGCGATCCCCGTCGGTGATGCGGTCGAAGTTCCCCTGCAGCACCATGCGCGTTAGAACGAGAGAAGTTGTGGATCGTGCGTGGAGAACATTGGGTACCTACCGTCGCGAAGGGACTTGGGCGCAGGCGACACTTGCGGATCACCAATGTTGGTGATCACGAGCTCCGCCTGCCTCGAAGCACGGACCTGGGGATGTGGCTTGTCGAAGATTTTGTTCCACGCGTGCCAGGCCACGTGTCGGTCGGGTCGCGCAGATAAGCAGAGTGGCAAACGCTCGCATTCGTAGTGACGACCGACCAACGGGGTTGTGATGAGCCACCCACCGAGGCTTCAGAACCGCTAATGGAGCACCCTCAGTACGACCTTCCAACGAAGATTCTGAAAAGAGGTGAAACGACTCCGCCGCCAACGGTCGCAGCTGCGACTGTCCACTGGGCGGAGCCGATTGTGACTGACGCAAAACCCTCAGAGCCCAAGCTAGTCGCGGAAGAGGAGATCACCCATCAAGGTGACCAGGCGAACGAGGAAGGAGAGATTCATGCGGAACCAGAGGCCGACCTCACCTTGGATGCTCAAATAACGGAGCCCACTCTCGTGGAAGACGCCCCAGCAGAAGAAATTCCAGAAGAACCGAGGATCGAAGAACTGGAGGAGCCAGCGGAGACCCAAGAAGACTCTGAAGGGTATTTCCACGATGGTGGCAGTCTCTCTGCGAAGGATCTCGATGGACAGACGGTCATCTTGCCGGAGATCGTTAACACGACCGTAAAAGTCAAGATCGAAGACGTCCAAGCTGGAGACCCCAAGTAGAATACGCCGGAAGAGATCAACCGACTTCGACACAGCATCTGGAGAAGGAACCATCTTCTGATCAGGAAGGGAAACGCATCGCCGCCGGCAGCAGTTGGAGAAGTCTGTGATATCGACGTAGGAGATGCAGCCCCGATCGCACACAACGTGTTCGCCGAGTAGCGCCTCAATATCGTGAGAAGTTATCCGACTTTATCAAGGGTCTTCTAGCCGCGACGATTATCGCCCCTTCCACCTCTCCGTGGGCGTCGCCGATCGTGATCATCATCAAGAAGAACGGGGTCGACATTCGTCTCTGCATTGACTACCGCTTGATAAACTCGCTCACTCGGCTGATGGTGTACCCCACGCTGCTGATCAACGATCTTTTGGAGGACCTTCACCAAATTCTCTGGTACTGTTCCTTGGACATGGCGAGCGGATCCTGGGTAGTGCAAATGACGGGGCAAGCGCGGAATATCCCGGTGTTCTTACACCTTTCGGATTGTTCGAGGGAACTTGTATGCCTTTCGTATTGAAGAACGCGCCGCAAATCTACCAGCGGCTTCTTGAGAATGCTCTGTACGGATTCCTCAAGATCGGAAATGGCGAGGACCAAGCAGATGTGTTCATCTCAGGAGGGCCAGAGATGGGTCACGGATCTTCGGTGCTGGGACGACGGTCGTACATCGACGACATCTTGGTCACTGCCAATTCGTGGGACAATCTCTGTGAGACGGTTAAAGGACTGCTCGACGCCTGCGATCGTTGGAACTTGTCGGTCAGCGCTGGTGAAGAGCTCATGGGGCATGCGCAAGGTCGATTAGCTTGGCCACCGAGTCTCGATCGAAGGCCTGGAAGCTCGCCCCAAGGACTTGGAGTCGCTGTGTAACTTGCCGTTCCCGCAGACCCTGCGTGCGATGCAGTCATCCCTCAGCAGTTTGAATTACTACAGCCGCTTCATCGACGACTTCGCCGTGTATGCCGCGATCTTGTACGAACTGCGTGGGTCGAAATTCGACGAGCTTCGTCACCGAACAAAGATCGTGGATCATCCAGTGCAGACAGGGGCCGTTGACCAAGCCGAGATCGATGAAGACCGCTGGACGAGAGCCATGGTCGCGTTCATCATGTTGAAGCCGGAGATCGTGTCGACCCCAATCCTGAAACACTTCGACCCTGATCTCCCACCAGTGATCGTAGTTTACGCGAACAAGTGGGCGATCTCCGCAGCCTTGATGCAGGAGCATGATGGCGTGTTCTGGCCAGTGACCTTCACCAGTCGCATCTTGAAGACGAACGAACTGAATTACGGTATGGTCAAGAAGGAGGTCTTGGCATTGCTCAGAATCTTGGACGTCTGGCACACTATGCTGGTCTCCCAGACGATCAAGGTTCTGTCGCGATACTCGATGCTGCTTGGCTGCTGATATCCTCGGGTCTGCAAGGTCGCGTGGGTTCATGGGACGCCCTCCTGTCACAGTGGACGTTGGATATCGTGCGGTTCGCGAAGGGCGAAGACGAAGTCTTAGGAACCCTTGCCGCGAACATCACTCCGCGAGAAGAGGTTGACGAAACCATGGTAGCGGTCGCCCCGAAGAAGCAGTCTCAGCAAGTTATCATCGCGCTCACGCCGACGGTCGAACTGGGCGAAGAGCTGACCGTGGTGAGTTTCGATGGATTTGCGCTGGTGAAACGTGGCGGAGGAGCATACAGCGCAGTTGTCTGGAAGCTACCCGAGTAGACGATCATCACCGCGTCGTCGGCATACGCGACCCAGATGACCGTGAACGAGGCCGAATATAATGGGTTGATCTTGTGCCTGGATCTCCTGGCGAACCTTGACAGGGGACGCTTGGTGATCTGCTACGACTCCAACTTGGTGATCCGCCAGATGCGAGGCGAAATCGCATGCAAGGCACCCGCTCTGCAGCTCCTGCGCGAGAAAGCGATGGGGAAACTCTCGTCGTGGCCTCAGCACGAGTTCATGCACGTCAAGCGGGAATGGAACCGGAGCGCAGATCGTCTTGCCAGCGAAGTTTACAGGCGGAAACCGGTAATATTTCCACGTCGACAGAGATCTTCGAGGACTTGATCACGCTCAACCTGAAGACAAAGAGCGAGGGCAATGCCGTTCACATGTCGGTCGTGACTCGATCATCGACGAGGCGCCGATCTCCACCGGAATATCTGCCAGAATCAGTGGTACAAAGCATGAGGTTAGAACGCATCGCTCAAGCGCAAGGAGAAGAAAAGTAGATCGCCGATCTGAAGACGTACCTGACAGGGGACGTAGCCGATCTCACCGCGAAGGACGCTCTATCGTGTGCGAAGATCGCCGACTCGTACCAAGTTGGCGATGACGGACTTCTGCAGTATTGTCCGCCCTCTGCCTCGATAGAAGATGAAGATCGCGACGCGGTCGCCAAGCTGGTGAACCCTGGGCGTCTTCGTCATAGATGGGATCCGCGATCAACCTTGGAAGCTTCGCTGCCGGTAGGAAGCACTCGTCGTCGCGATCGCGATCCACGTCGATGGCGAAACCATGTGCAGCGTTATTACCAGCGAAGTCGTCAACGAGCGTCTGCGTGAAGCTATTCGTGATCGACCCGACCACCATAACGACGGTCTACGTCCGCATAACATCAAGGCCGGAGACCAGGTATAGTTGTATCTTGATCGCGTCAAGGTCGGCTACGCACGGAAATTTGCGCACCTCTGGTATGGACCGTTCCAGGTGGCTGAGATGATCGAAAACACGCGACGAGGCTGGATATCGATGGGACTGAATACCGGATCTTCCCGATCGTTCACGTGTCGAAGCTCAAGCCGGTTAGGCATTTCCCTGATCGGCCGAAGCTGGAACTCGCCGGCCCGGAGGAAGATCGTGTGGATTTCGATGAAGCACTTCTGCCGGAAGACAGTTGGGAACGAGAGTTAGATGAGGTTGAATACGAGGTGGAGGAGGTTATGGACGTACGACCATCTCGTAGGACGCGCTACGGGCGGAACTGCCGTGAATACTTGGTACGCTGGAAGGGGTACGACTAGCCGACTTGAGTGGACGAAGTGGATTTGAATTGTAGAGCGCTGCTCCGTTGGTCACTCCTCGTCATGATCGGGTTACTTACGATTGTCAACGTCTACATTCAAAAGATAAATCAGGACCAAGCGAATCATTTCCCCAATCTAAACCAACCATAGACTCTAAAACCGCTGACAGCTATATGGGTCAATCACTGGCTGGTTGGGCTAAGACACCAAATGTTCTGTGCCTGGGCAAGATGGACGTGAATGGCTGGGATTTTTTCTGATGGTGCGCTGTAACGAACAGGGCTAATGGTACTTCATTAGTGGTGGCTGTACCGGAAGATGGAGCTTCTGGCGTAAAACGCTTGGGATGGCGATGGTGGACGGGGGATCTGGCGAAGCATTGTTGGCTGCACTCCGGTATCTTTTTGTTTGTTCGGTGGAGGAATGAGAGGGTTTAGTGACAGTTTGAAATTTCAAAGCACAAATCCCCCATTTTCGCGAAACTTCGTGTAAGTACCAAAACCGATGATCGGATCTGAACGCGGTTATATCGATAACTCTAAATGGCGCATTAGTATTATTTTGTTTGACGCAGTCTCCTATTTGACGCCATTATACTTGGAATGTCAAGATTTGAATGATATTGATTGGCAAGTTAACAGCTAGACAGATAATAACATTTTTCTATATTATTTCGTTGGGACGAGTGATATCTTGGAGAACCATAACTTTTTCAGAGCTCACGTCTAGAAGTCAGCCAGGGTCTCAATCGATAGAGAGACGCCTTCGATATAGTGGTGTTCTTAAAACGCGATTGGTACTGTGGTTGATTATTTTTTGTTTGAGGCAGTTTCATATTTATTGTCAGAATATTCGTATATTGACCTCTAATCGATATGGCTATATAATAGGAAGTTTTTCCACTGTGTTGCTACTTTTAGAGATAGACTGGAGTACCTTGTCAGCATCTATTGAATTGAATTCCGATTATGCAGGCGCCTCTACACTTTTCAATTTCAAAATGGCATATTCCATGTTCAATATGTCAAAATGTCATTTCAAGCTGCGTATAATTGAGGCATCTCCTGCGCCTGCTGCGCAGCCGCAGTATCTGCCCTTGTTGGTGCAGACCTAACCCACAGTACCTGCTGCGTTTGGGGTCGAATCCCGGTATTCGTTTATAAAGCTCACAATTTACCTTGGAGAAACACCCGTGTCAAATTTGTAATCATAAGAATCGCACTTAAGAATTGGGGCGACGAACAGGTAACTTTCGTTTGAAATACCAATCTGTTACAGGTATTAACTTACAAAATTTTCACTGTACAATGAAATCCTCAGTTTTGTATGTAATTTCAATTTTTGGTCGAAAAACCTACATCGGTATACACAAGGTTTCTATAAATGGAAAATCAAACCTGACTCAGATCCCGCCTTAGCTCTGACTGAAAATAAATTTCAGAGAACAATGCTCCATAAACACATAAGATATATGCATTAATTATTGAAATATATACTATTTGATGATACGAAATATCCATTGGTGGATAAAGCCAAGGATCAGCCAATGAGACGCATAAAATATGCGATTGGCCCGTCGCTATCCGTGCCATTTTGAAATTACATTTTGACACATCGAACTTGGAATTTGCTATTTTGAAGTTGAAAAGGTGTAGAAGAAAGAGTGATGGTCTCTCAAAAATGACTGGTCATCGGTTTTTCAGTGACCTGGGCGGTGATATTTTTGGACAAAAGTTCAAAACTTCTTCGTGTATCGTACGAATTTGTGTAAGTTTCTCTGTCGTATACGGTACTCAGATTTGTATCCATCGTGGTATACCAACGAGTATTACGACATTGATCGTAAAAGGGGTCGTGATTACACGGAGTCAAAGCATGTACACGTAAAAGATCTACATACTGTAAACATTGCCGAGTCTCTACATGTATTTTGTCTCTGGCTTGCAAGATAAGTTCCATTGTACCCTCAGAGCATCTCCACCGGTAAATGCATAAACTATGAATAAACACAGATCGGACCAAACGTATAAAATTATGCAGGCCATATTTAGTTTTACCACGACAATATGCCACAACCAAAAGCATTATAGCATTCTGGTTGCCACTGAAACCCTGTCAGAATCAGTAAAACAAAATGGTGCCCTGAAGGTTTTGCTTGCGTTCTTTATGAGTACGATCTTTGAAGACTAATTTTAGTATATCCATATTAGAGTCTTCAGTTTGTGAAACATGTGTTGCCTGTTGGGAAAGTAATCACCGCACTATATGTGTCTAGCGATCCAAACCGTGCATTCCTCACGATTTGGAGTTGAAGCAAATTGTAGTAAACAAACCTAGAAAAACTATTTATAAATTTTTAGTTTTCCTAGTGTCGTTTGAAACCTGTCCTAGATATATTGTCGGAAGAACCGACTGACTTAAGTCTCGACAATTTTTTCGACGAACACGTTGTGATGGAAGCTTGCACACCCGACAGTTTCTTTTAAGCCGGTGGGTGGGTTGTACGAACATGAACGCTACGTTCAACACCCTGTAAACAAACGATGATTATGACGCTGATCTTGAAATACATGTAAATCGTCGCGAGTCGTTGTTTGTCCCTTGTTGTAAACACAGGTATACAATCACCTGCACGTGGCTGTTCGGTATTAGATTCTTCACAACAAGGATTAGAATCTGTTGCCGGAGCTGAACGCATATGTATGTACAGTGTTATTGTTTACTTGCTGTTTATTTTGATATACTTACACTGGCACCGAGCAAAACTCATCGAGGCCTATCGTTCGGTGCAGCCGTAAGAATGGATGGCTGACTGTCACTTCACTTTTTACTTTGAAGCCCACAATCCCCTCTACTCCCAGCTTTTCTCTCCAACAATTATGCGCAGTGTTTTTTACGTTGTACTTGCGGTCGCAGTCTTAACGCGCAGCAGTTTTGTCGCAGCGTTCTCAAATACCGACGAATCGCAGCTCTTGTCGAAGGTCATTCCCGACTTCGCGACTGATGTCGTGATCGGCAATGACTCCCCGAAGAGATTTCTTCGGGTCACAGATCCAGAAACTGTTGACTTAACACCCGATGACGAAGAACGAACTCAGAAGTTTAAGTATCTCCGTGACATCGTGGACAAGGCGAAAGAAGCGCCAAAAAAAGCTGCAGAGAGCGTTTCACAAGGCGCCAAGAAGATCAAGAAAATCACGACAGCCACGACGAGTGAGTTAGAGGTTGCAGCTGCCCTCCTTGCGTTGAAAAAGAGCAAGTAGAATACAACGGTATTGCTTACAACGATTCAGAGAAGAAACCGATAGCGATTAATCGTTACTTGGAGTTTCTTAACAATGCAAACTGAGAAATAGAGATTCCAGTGGTTTGGCGGGCAAATTTGATTTTTGGGTGTCCTGCTCTCGTTGGATTTCCAACTTCTCAAGCATGCGCGTCCAGTCCACTAGTATTGGTGCACTATATATGCCGCATACATGTATTCGCAAATGCATCAATTCCGTACTGCTGTATTACCGAGTCGACGGAATTGGAGAAATCATCCTTTTTACAGAAGGCTGTCATCAGCTAGGAGTATTCGTCGTGGTAATATACGACGGACACAGTAAATATCATCTTGAATATTTCAAACCAAGTGGTTTGGTTTGAAATACCAAAATGATTATTAGTTAAAACCATCGCGGTGGTTTAGAGTTACGCCACCATACCGTCTCACAAAGCATCAGCGTGTCATTCCACTATTGTAGCTACATGTACCTAGCAATAAACATTAAAAGCACCTTAATGCCACAATGAAACGTCAAGTAAAGGACATGAGAGAACTCATCAAGAAACGATATGTACTTCTTTTACTCATACGTGTTCTTATATAATGGGCATAATACACTCTTACAACAAGAGTAATACAGCTCCTGTCTACACAGTATTCATCATCATCTAATCCCATGGCGGGTTACCTCTGGTTGGGGTCACATACGGTACAGATCTGAATATGGATCCAGCACAAAGATTTGGTTGGGACAAAGGGTCCGTTCGCTGTTGAGCTGGTCGCTGGACCGCCTCCGCAAATATTGCGGCCCTGCTTCACAGGAAAGTTTGTTATGGCTACGCTATTCGCACACGCTCTCTACCGACCCTCTACAAAATTCAAGTCAAAATGATATTCCTTTTTCAGATCTGTACCGTATACGAACCCAACCAAATTTTATATTCATGAGGATATATCGGAAATCAATATAAAAATGTTGTCTTGTCTTTCGATCTGGCACGAACATTCACCTTGTATGTCTGTACAATACGCATTGTCTGTACTCTTTTTCTACTTGCAACTTTTACCAATCACAGTTGCCTAAATTTCCCCTTACAGATGACTACAATTGCAAGAATATACTCAATTACCAAAATTTAAGAAAGGTATTACTTGCACTTGTCCACTTAAGTATGAGCAATATCTCCCGAAGGAAATTATGATAGAATGATCCATGTTATTGTAAAAACTTATTAATATTAAAAAAGTTTCATTTTGATCATACCGGTAGTTCAATCGGATCAGGATTCAGATCATGTGATGCGATAGATACGTTCGAAACTACAGGCTGTCAGAGTCTTAACTCT